AATTAACCAAGATTGGAACATGGGCTGGGATGCCCACGATGCTCGTGCGCCCAGGTTCTTGCCGCCAGTGGGCCCATCCCTTTCCACCCCTCACTCTAAGGGTGTCCCGGAGTGGCTGTGAACCCGTCGGCAGGCTAGCCTTCGAACTCCTGGTTCTAAATGGGCCATAGGAGCATTTTCAGCCCTGCATCCCTCCTTACCTGGGACGGTTCTTGGCCCATTGACCGGGCGAACCATCATCCGGCGTGTCCTTTGAGGGCGTGGCTAGCGTGCGCACGATCTTTAGAGGGAGGAGTCTTGACATGCTGAATGGGCGCGTGAACCTAGGCAGACGGTTTGCCTTCTTGCCCCGCTTCGTCCTATAAATAGTGGCCTCCCCCTTCATGTTTCTGCACACCAAAACCATAGCCTTACCTTCTCTGTTTCTCTGCCGCCGCTGTTCGGATCTGCCGTGCTTGCTAATCCGCCGTCGGAGCCCTAGATCTATAGCTTTCGCTTCTCCGCCACCACCTTTGCTTTTCCATAGCTGCCTCCATCCTCCATGAATTCATGATACCGCTCTAATGTTACCCATGTGAGCATGGAGGGCCTCGTCAAGCGTGGTCTTCTCCGTGGGAGGACTAATGCGGTAGAGTGGCTTGTGCCTGGCTGTGAGGATGCACCGGCACCGCCCGATGGCTACGTCGTCTCCTTCACGCTCTTCCATGAGCATGGACTCAGGGTTCCTCCCCACCCGTTCTTTCGGGGTCTACTGCACCACTATCAGATCGAGCTGCACCACTTGAACCCCAACGGAATCTAGCACATCACGGCCTTTTGGGGAGAACCCAGTGCCGATGGGATGCCCGGGCATCCACCTCCGGGGGCAGCGGGCGGCCGAGTACATGCCCTATTAGCTCTCTAGATCCAATAAGGGGTGGCACTCGTATTAGTTCTACCTGAAGAATGATCCTGCCGCTCCCTTGCCGATCTTCTTTGGGCGCCTGGTCGAAGAGGTACTGTCGTCATGGCCGTGGGGGCCACCCATCAAGGAGAAGAGGATGTGTGACCTCCTCGAGGCCATCGCGTTCCTAAAGACCCACAACCTCTGTGGGGCTAGCGTCATCGGGGGTATCACGCGAGGAGGGTGGTGCCCCTGATGGCGCGTGTCCTCCTGCTATTCGAGATGACGCCCGACGCGTAGCTCGTTGGGACAATGCTCGCCCAGGGGCTGCTCCACGACAGCGAGGTCACGCAACGCATCAAGGAGGCCACGAGGGAGGCCGACGCCGTGTTCCCGATCCCGGGGCATCCCATGATGTGGTCGGACGTGGGCTTCATCAAGCTGCTAGTGGGGTTAGTCTTTCGGGACTCTATCGCACCGCTGCCAAAGCACGCGACCGTGAGGGCGGTGAACCGTGCTATAGATGAAAAAAGGAAGAAGAAGAAGAAGGACGACGAGGAGAAGAAACGGTGGTCGAAGCAGCAAGCGAAGCTACAGCGAGGGAAGCAGCATCAAGGTTCATCGAAAGAAGAGGAGGAAGAGGAGGAGGAGGAGGACGGCTCCATGTCACCCATCCCGTGGGATGATCTGGCCACCGGGGACGAGGACCTGCCTTTGCCGTAGGCGGGGCCCTTCCCGTGGCATGCCACGGGACAGGAGGAGGAGGATGCGCCCCCGGAGCCGGTGGAATCAAAACACCATGCCCTGTCTGAACCTTCGATGGTGGCCTCAGAACTGGCAGAATCAGGCCGCCTTGCCTCTCTAGGCCTTCGACGGCGGCCCAGGAGCCACTGGAAATAGGTCGCCCCACTCCATCCGAGCCCTCGGTGGTGCCTCCGGAGTTGGCGGGAGGCGGCCGTTCTGATTCGTATGAGCCCTCCAAGCCAAGGGAGGGCTCGAAGCGGCAATGTGCCGATAAGGAGCAGTAGGTGTTGAGCAAGTCGGGCCCAAAACGTCCTCGCACGATGGTGTTAGGGTTAGTCAAGAGTTTTTTCATCCTTTTGTCTAAATGAATTTTTGCAGCGAACTGACCGCCATGTCCCTTGCAGCGTCGGAGGACGTGGGACTATCCTGTGGCTCGCTCCGAAAAAGATCCTCCTCTAGAAAACGCACCAGGAGCCGGTTGGCACCGCGCCGTTGGTGAGCATGAGTGGCGTTGGGGCGGCCATGGTGTTGATCGAGGAGGCACAGCCGATGGCTGCGTCCATGGGAGAGCAAGCGGAGGAGGGTGCATCAGGGGCGCTAGTGGCGGGCGCGGTGCGGCTGGTCGTGTCCATGGGAGAGCAAGCGGAGGCAGCACGACCGGAGCCGTCATCCGTGCAGGTGGCCATGTCCGCAGCGGGACGGACAGAAGGGGGCGCACTCGAGGCATCCTTCATGGATGTGGCGATAGGGTAGGCCTCCGTGTCCACGTCACCCGCCCCTCTATTGCTAGAGGAGCCGCTCTGGAGGAGCTGCCACCGCAAGAGTGGTCGGCGTCGCTTGAGGTCAGCGCGGGGACGTCCCGATCTCTGGTCCGGGTGGCTACCCTCGATGAAGCAGCAGAGGAGAGGGAATGGGGGAGCATCCACACGAAGGTTGGGGGCACGGTTCACGCCCTGACCACCATGCTGAGCTCAATGCGCGACATTGTCGTCCTAGTTGGCTAGGTATGATATGACCGTGCTTCCGATTATCATGTTGTCTTTCCACGCCTCTAAGTCTTGTCTTCTTCGTAGATCCTTATGACCCACAGCTAGGACAAGTCCTAGTTCCTTGCTGAGGGACGTGATGGAGTGAGAGGCTGGCCGCACAGCTCGCTGCGCCCGTCAGGAGGTGGCTGAGCTTGCCCCTACCACATGGGAGGTGCCTAACCTCTAAGTAAGGGAGAAGGATGCTTGCAACGATGCCCACGAGGCCAAGGAGAAGCTCACGGCCCTGATCGAGAGGGCGCGCATGGATGCCATGGAGGTCGAGCGGCTACGAAAGGAGCGAGACAATTTGCTCCAAGCCATAGAGGAGCTCTGCACGGGGATTGACCTGGCTCGCTAGGAGCGCGCCGACGCTCAGCAATGGATTGACCACCTTGAGGATGAGCTTCAGAGGGAGAGGGACCTAAAGGTTGCAGCCGAGGGCGTGTCCACCGGGCTCGCCGCGAAGGTCGGTCAGCGCCAAGAAGAGGTCCAGCGCCTGGAGGTCGTGGTGACCCGGCAGTGCAATGAGGTGTGTAGGCTTTGGACGGACGTGAATGGTAAGTCTCTGGTTTCCCTTGTTGTCTTTCTCCTTATAATCAATGGTGAGCCTTTTGACACGATCGGTATGTGACTTGGGCAGGTCTCGATGATAAGCTCGAGGCGGAGGTGGTGAAGAGCCGCGACCTAGAGAAGGAGCTCGGTGAGGTGAAGGACACCCTCCAGAAGGAGAGCGATGAACACGAAAACTTGCACATCGCCGTCCAGCTGGTCTGCGATGAGCTCGAGCTGGCCCCGGAGCAGGAGACAAGCTCACTCACGGCTCATGCTACCTAGATCACAGATTGGGCATGTGATATGGCAAGGGGTGCACTTTGCTTTGGCGTTCACTGATCATTCGCGATCACCCATTCTCATTACGAGAACATCGATCTGGCGACGATGAGCCAAGGCTTCGTGCCCGTCTATACCGACGCTGCTGGATGACATTAAGAAGGAGGTGGCCCCCTGGCGCATGACCTTTCTGCCAAGATAGAAGATGAAATCATCCCCCGAGGGGTTAGTTTAGTCAGGTAAGTTAGGCGGCGCATTTGTAATAAGCGAACAAGTTCCAACCCTTTTGTTTCGTTTAAACAAACTTGTTCTTTTGTTTTGGTTGAACAAATTTGTTCTTTCTCTCTTTTTATGTGTAAAAAGGGTTAAAACGCTCTGACCCTTCCTGTTGTTAAGACTGTAGAGCTCAAGGCATGGGTGAAAAACTCTGATCACGCTGGTAAGCAAGAGTGCCATAGCCACTGGGGCGTAGGTTTCTTGCAGTCCGACCAGTTTTACTCAGTGTTCGTTTCCGTAAACCTTGCATCTAGGTTTTTAACGTGAGAAAGGGTTGGGCACGGTGACTGTTTCAGAAAGGGTATATATACCCTTATCAGCCCCCAAGTGAGGCCCGACCCCTTGCCGTTGCCATGGTCAGGTTTCACTAAAGATCGAGGAGACAATAACAAAACTGGTAAGAGAAAGTGTTTTTTATTTTAGGCGAGTCGGAGCCCGTACCCAAGGGGTCGGGCGAGACAGAACTCGTGTCCTTGAGGTCAGGCGAGACGGAGCCCGTGCCTAAGGGGTTGGGCAAGACGGAGCCCGTACCTAAGGGGTTGGGCAAGACGGAGCCTGCGTCCTCGAGGTCGGGCGAGACAGAGCCCGCACCCAAAGGGTCGGGCGAGATGGAGCCTACCCACGGCCTTGAGGTTGGGAAAGATGGAGCCCATGGCCTTGAGGTCAGGTGAGACGGAGCCTGTGGCCTTAGGGTCGGGTGAGACCTCTTAATATGTCTCGAGCCATCAGGGTAAGTCATTGTGAGCGCTAACTTCCTTGCTTTGGGTATCCCTAATATCAATATCCGACAACCTTGTTGCCGGAGGCATCGTGGGTGTCAGCAAAGCACATGCTCTTGGCGATGAGGTCCTGGCTGGCGCCCTCGGCCATGACGATGACCATGTGGCCGTTGTCGCGAAGGCGCTTCTCCATGAACTCGAAGAGGCTGCCCTTGCCCTCGAGGTAGAAGGGCGACACCGGGATGAGGCAACAGTTGATGTCGCAGCTGGTGAGCATGGTGAACATGGCGATGAAGCCGCTGTTCGGCCCATGAGCTTGACGACCCCGATGCCGTTCTCGGCGCCCTCGGCCTCGACGTGCGCGGCATTGATGGCGCGCTGTGCCTCCTCCTTGGTGGTGTCGAACCCAAATGACTTGTCGATGATGACGATGTCGTTATCGATGGTCTTGGGAACACCGACCATGGCGCACTTGAGCCCGCGGCGCTGCACCTCCTCGTGGATGGACGTCGCGCCCTTCTACGAGCCGTCGCTGCCGATGATGTACACCTGGTTGACCCCACGGTCCTGGATGCTGTCGATGATCTTGGCCGTGTCCTGGCCACCGTGGGAGGTGCCCAGCATAGTGCCGCCACGCTTGTGAATGCCGTTGATGAAGCGCAGCGTTAGCTCCACGGCGTTGCGCGCGTAGAAGCCCTTGTAGCCGCCCTCGATGCCGTAGATGGCGGTGATGCCGTACATGTCATGGAGGTCGCAGACGAGCTCGCGGATGACGGTGTTGAGGCCCAGGCAGAGCCCGCCACAGGTGACGATCGCCGCCCTCACCTCATCCAGCTGGTAGTAGACGCGCCGCCGCGGGCCGGCGTGCCAGAAGTGCGTCCCCCGCACGCTGCTCTTGTGCACCACGATCTTCTTCGCCACTGTTTCATCTGGCTTCACGAAGTATTGCCTGCGCGGTCAGAGCAACGCCATTCAGCACACCGTATTTATTATTTTTGACAAGAATCGAAGATGTTATTAGAACACAAGGGGAGATACTTACTTGACAACAGAGTAGGCGGGGTGGTCTTACAGGGGATTCGGGTAGCTCTGCACATGAACAAGAATCAAGAACATGAGCAAAAGCAATTCGTCGGATTAAGTAAGCAATCTTTTCTCCCTTTTGTCAAGACAAGAAAGATGAACTAACTTCAGACTCACCTTGAGCTCATGGAGGAAGTCGGACGTACCCGCCACAGCCGCCGACGAGCTTCTTCTTGGCCAGCTTGGCCTTCCTCGATGAAGAATGATTTCGCCACCGGGGCAAAGGAAAACTTCAATTCCATAAGCTTGTGCTGCGGTGGCTGGGTGATGGCCACCGGAGCCGGCGCCACGATGACGGTGGCGGTCTCCATCGGTCGTAGCACAATATTCAAGCAAGCGAGCTTGGGATGGTTGATCGGCAGACTTGGGAGCGAGCAGGGGCGAAGCTAGAGCACAACGGTGGGGGTGCACCACTTAACCATAACTACAATAACCCATATGATGTTCAAAAAAATAGGATAATTAATGCATAACTACCATATTTTTACATCAAAATTTGACTTCTAGCAATAGCGATGAGAGAGCTCACCGATAGTCCTCAATACTAAAATCATCAGGATATAGTTTTGCTAAGTTCATCAAAGTCTCCACATTGAAATCATGAAACGAGTCCCTTGGACTGAAAGCGGCCGAGCAAACAAGCAATTGATAGCTTGTCACACTAAAGCGGCTATCAAGCTCTGACTAGCCAATCAATAACATCGTTAAAGCAATCCACTCTATCAATTTCATGCATATCACAAAACTCATTCACTTCATTTAATAATTTCTCCCACCCATCTCTTCTAAGATCATATAAATGGAGTCTACATTTACAATGTAGTCAACATTAGATGCAAATAAAAGGCAAAGTCAAAAGATTTGAAATATACTAGAAGATTTGATGCTTGATCTCTATTTTTCCAATCTCTATCATCCTTTTCAACAACTTGTGGCACTTCAACTATTGTAGGAAACATGTTGACTAAACTATTGCAGTTATGGCTTAAAAAAACTATTGCAGTTCTATACTATTAGAAATATATATTAAAAAAGAGAGAAAATCACACTAACCCTAAATGGATCGAGGCTTAGCATGATTCAAATTCTGGATAATCGAGGGCTTGATGAGTTGATGCCTTGCCTTTTATTTTGGATCAATCTCTGTCGCCAGCCACCTCGTGCCAGGTTGCGCCGCCGGCCGCCGGGCGCTCGGCTACTTGCCTACTCCCTGTATAGAGCCAGACAGGGCACAACCTGCAACCGTGTCGGCGTCAGGCGAACCCTTGCGGACTCGCGAGCGCAGGCAGCGGGCGCGTCTATTTGGGAGACACGAGCGGCAAGTGAAAGTGCGAAACGCCGAGGCTAGGACCTGGGAGGAAAAGCGATTCCTCCTCCTGGAAGTAAACTGTGAGGTGGGCTTGGGCCTCGATCTTTTCTAGCTGCTGCTTGCTGGCCTGCTAGGGGTGCCTCATTTTGGCCATGGGGGGTGCACATAAGGTGAAACGTTGATAGTTACGAGGGAATTTTGATTTTTGCCCGGGTGCCTAGGCACTAATGTTTTTCTAAACGGTAAACGGTCTTTACACGATCGTCTTTCGTTTAGCGTTTAGGCTGTTTACATGATGTTTAAACGAAGTTAAACGGTCTAAACGGTTTTGTACTTTAAAAAAAATACATATAATTATATATGTGCATGTAAAAAATCAAGTATTCTAACATTTATACATATTTATTCGAGTAAAAATTAATTATTTTGGTATGTATATATATTTATGCATGTGAAAAGAACCAAATATAGATATTTATGCTCGTAACATATCAAGTGTATACATGTATAAATATAATAAACTTAAGTATACAAATTTATCCATACAAAACTAAACTAGATTTACCTCGTGTTCGCCTAAGCAGCCGTTTAAACAGCTGTTTAGCATGTTTAATATAGTCTATCTCCGTTCCGTTTAGGCCGTTTAGACCGTTTTTCCCGTTTTTTTGACCGTTTAAACGGTCAACTGTTTAATTTATCGTTTACCCCCTAAACAAAACAATTTACCATCGTTTACCGTTTAGTGGCCATTTAGGCGAACACTGCTGGGCACCCACTGGGTCTAACTAAGCTTCGCCCATGGGAGTGAGGAACGCTGCTAATGCTTGTCCTTGTGATGAGACTTGGGATTGGTGTGGGAAGGTGGGAAATCGAGTGCAGGGTTTATATAGCCGGGGGCGACCGGGCGTGCTGCGTTGGCAGCGAGCGCCTGCGGGACAAAACAGAGGAGTCGAGTCGAGTCGGGGTCGAGTCAGGGTCGAAGTCGGAGAGCGCGTGGGCCTCGGATCGTCGGATTCTCAGCTCAGGTCTTCTTCTCCCATTGTTTTTTTCCTTTATTTATTTATTTATGTTATTTATAATAAAAGAAAAGGTGGACATTTCAAACTTCTTTGTGAAATAATTAGCAGATTCGATTGACGCTTCTTCGTAGCTAAACTTTGTGGCATTATCTTAAAATAATCATAGTAATGGTATTTCCAAAGTATTTTATGATTTGTTTATATCTCTATATAAGAGAGGTATTTTAGGGTCTTTCACATCATTAGTTGGATAAGTTAGATTAATTATTGGACGCTTCATATACCCAATGTGAAGTAATTTGGAAAATTAGATATGGACTATTTGTTCATTAGTGACTTAATGTCAACCGCGGCATTACACAAACCCTTTATGCTACCCCCTCCATTCTAAATTACAAGATATTTTGATTTTTTAGATACATGCTTTTACTATATATACATAGTGCACATCTTGCTATGTATTTAGAAATCCTAAAACATCCTATAATTTAAAATGGAGGGGGTAGCATATTTTTTCTAAGCATTTATGACTATAATGTGGCCATTATTTACACGAATCATACATGGTGTACATCTAATAAAAAATTGAATATGAAATGTTCTTGAAAATCATTAATAGTGACCATTAGTTTCATATGGACGGTTCCACGCTGCACAATTGCTTTTGGCACGGATGATATAATTACTCTTGATATGAATATAGAACGATGAGCATACTTTGGTAAGGGAAAAGCCTTACAAAATAGATTTTGATGTATTTTTTCTAAACAATCAATATCAACTTAGAGACGCTTTAAATAAAAATCTTTTGTTTTAAGTTTTGTATCCTAAATTTTATATAATCTGTCTATTTGTTGGCCAAGATTCGTTAACTTTTGATTTTTTCTTATATAAAATACGTTTACCATTTTGGAAAGGACGAGAATAATGTTTAGTTATCATTATTCATGTAAGAACTACTCCGTTTGTGTAGAAAAACATGATGTTTTTGTTTTTGTCATAAGTCAAACTATCTGAAGTTTGATCAAATTTATACACAACAATATTAATGTTTATATTACAAAATAAGTATTATTAGATTCATTATGCAACATATAGAGTGGTCAGTGCATGCTCAGTACGTCCCCCTGAGGTGGTCAGAGTTCGAGTCTTGAGGGACTCACTCTTTATTTGTGGCTTCGGCCGCAGCGCCCAGGAAAAAAAAAACTCCCTCGTCTACCCTCATCCAAAGCACAGATCTGTGTCTAACTCATTTTACGGAGCTGTGATGTCGCCATGTAAGGGTGGGGCGGAGGTTCAGGGGTTTTCTCGATCTGCGTAAAAAGATCTTCTTCTTAAGGCGGAATACCCGAGAGTTGTCTAGCCAACTCGGATCGAGTTTTTTTTTATATAGATTTGGTCGAAATTTATATAAAAAAATCCACTAGTTTAAAAAAAAATCCCAAAGAAAAGTCCTCAGCGGGCCGTTCCTTCAGCTTACCCCCCCGAAAGCCCAGCCATTCAAAATCGACCGAACCAAGCATTGACGATGAAGCCCAAGCCCACGTGACTGCGTCCCTCCTATTCTCAACTAAAAACCCTAGCCCAACAGTCCCCACAGTTGCTCCCGTCTCATCGCAACTGCGAAGGCCCAGTTCCCACGGTTTCCCCCACGACGCCGGCGATGGGCAAGCGGAAGCAGCGCGGCGGCGGCGACGGAGAACCCGCCGCGGAAGGCGACGCGACCACCGGCGGTGCTGTCGGAGGACACAGCCCCTCCACTGTGTTCGTCTCCAACCTCCCCTACACCTTCAAGTCCTCCGATGTAAGCACGAGCTGCCGAGTGCTCAATTGCTACCTCGCTCCGCGGTCGTAGTTCAGAATCAAGCGCGCGTTTTGTTGTTGTGCAGCTTGAGGCGGTGTTTAGCGAGGTCGGTCCAGTGCGGCGCTGCTTTATGGTCGCGGAGAAAGGTGAGCTGTAGGAATCCGGTTGCTGTTTATTCGGGAGTGGTTTCATTGGCTAATTCTACATTTGTGGTTGCTTTACCGCAGGATCGGAGAAGAGTCGAGGCTTTGGGTTCGTGCAACTGTAAGTTCTCTCAGGAATCACCTATGTTGGTATTATGGGATTACTTCATGCTTTTATCGGAGTGCAGTTTTGAGCGAATGATGTGAAGCTCCACTGAGCCGACTGTTTCTGAATGTTAACCATAAATTCGTCTATGTCAATGTCTCAAGTGGCTCATGAACCTGCACATCCTGTGGTTACTGTACATAGACTATACTGCTCCGTATACCAGAACTTAGAAGGGTTTTATTGTTAGCAAATTTGCTGACCGTAGACCATAACTTAACTTAATATTCACTAGAGAGTAGAGGCTAGACCAGAATGATCAAATGATATAAACTAATCATATTGGTACCTGTCCCAGTGTTTATTATGATCGTTCATGTATAAGTGTGCTTCTGCTAATAATCTGGGCATAAAGTTTTCATTGACACTGTTAAGTGATGATTTGGTTAATGTAATGTGTTCCCGTATATGCCAGTGCAACTGTTCAAGATGCTGATCGAGCCATTCAACAAAAGAATGGATTTCCTGTTGCTGGTAGGAAAATCAGAGTTAAGCTAGCAATGAATCGTGCTCCACTGAAGGAACGTTTGCAAAAGAAGGAGAATAGTAAGGCTCCTCTCCTAACAGTTTGTTGCTGCTGAAGCTCAGTAGATTGTGGATCTGACGGCCTCGTGTTTTATTTGCTTGTGAGCAGTGCAAGTGAAGGACTCTGATGCAAAAGATGAAGCAGACGAGACTGCTCCTGCTGAAAAGCATAAGGGGAAATCTCATAAAACAGATCCAGGTTGTAATGGAAATTACCTTTTTTTGTTTTGTTTTATGTTTATGCCATGGTTAGTATTTTCCAATACTGATGCTTTAGTATTTTCCAATACTGATGCAAATGTCATGTAGAACCAGATCAACCACATTTGTTGTCAAAGGATGCTA